ATATATATATATATATATATATATATTTCTATATATCTCTCTCCAGACACACACACACACACACACACACACACACACAAGACAGTGTCTGTGTATATATATTTTTTTTTTTTTTCTCTCTCTCCCTGTGTGTGTGTGTGTGTAAATAAAAAAAAAACTCACTCACTCACATATATATCTCTCTCTCTCTCTCTCTCTATATATATATATATATATATATATATATATATATATATATATATATATATATATATATATATATATATATTATACAATTATGTATTATAGCATAACATAGAGAGCCAAAAATCATTTTGTTAGAGGAACTACTTTCTTCCACCATTCACTCACATCTGCAGCTGATGTCAGAACAGCAGAAACCATTGCTACTTCAACAACGTCACTTTAGTGCTAGTATTTGAATGATTCACTGGCGTAATGTCGACAGTGATGACAAAACAGATGATTTTGCTGACATTTTTAGATTATAAGGCTGAACAGCATGAAGTCTACAGAGATTTATCAGTATTTCTCTTTTGCAATTGGGAGATCACAATAATTAACCCCCAAAAAGCCAAAGCAAAACAAACACTTCAAGATAATTATGGTATAGATACAGCTCTACAACATACAAAAAGAGAGAGATCAGGGGTCTGTTCTTCGTACCTCGCTTAAATGATCTAAGATGATTTGGCAGATCCTGGATCTGTTCATCTTGATAACTGATCTCTCGCTAATTTGGTTCTTCTAACAAGTTCGCGAATCAGATTAGAATGTCTGGATAAACTGATCTGAGATCGCTGCGTGTGTTGTGAAGGACAGATCTATCGATCCTCGAAATCATGATCAGCAATGAAGCGATTGGCTGACGGCACAGCAGCGTAATGACATCATCTGATTAATATTCAATTATCCATGTGAGCAAAATTACATCAAATTAGCAGTAAACCGTTTGTTAAATATGACACGCAATAACCTTCCACATTTGTTGTGAGCTGCAGGCTTTACACTTTCATGTGTCAAGAGTATTCATCATATATTTCAGTCCATATCAGTGTATTTAGTTCTACATTTAGAAAAGATTTTCTTTATTATAGTAGCCGTTTTTTAATCGCTTTATGGAATAACTGGTTGTTTACAAAAGCATTTTCATATTGGTAAAAGCGTCGCAACTTTTGTGAAGCATCAAATCACTATTAACTATCAAAACATGTTTATGACTGCATAAATGTATTATTGCTTTAAAAAAAGTCACTTATTGTGCATTTCTATTATACACAAATTATACTAAAGCGATCTAAAAAGTTCATATCAATAAGTTTTCTTTTTGCACCACCAGGTGGCAGTCTTTGTACTTTCATTTCGAGGGTGCAGATTGCATACGTTTTATTAATATGTATAACTTTATTTATATATATTAATAACTATAACTTTATATATATATATATATATATATATATATATATATATATATATATATATATATATATATATATATAT